GTAACCCTGCCATTCTCTAGAGCACTATCTCAATTCGTTGAGGTTCTGCTTCCCGGCATACGTCGACAGTTTGGCTCAAATAAACTCACAAAAATTCTTTACAGGTTTCAATGGTTTTTTTACGTTAACAATGGCTGGGATTTGAAAAGAAAATTAATCAGTCGTGGGGCCAATTTTGTAACTCAGATTTTGCTGAGACCAGGAGCATCTGATTTAACAGGAAGTTTCAGGTTACATCGAAAAGAAGTTCTACAGAAATTAATAGAAAAATGTGTTTCTAAAGGCTATGTTTTCCAGATGGAAATGATTGTTCAAGCAAGACAGTTGCATTATACTATTGGCGAGGTTCCAATAACATTTGTGGATCATGTTTACGGTGAATCCAAGTTGGGAGGAAATGAAATAGTCTCTTTCTTGAAAGGATTATTGACTCTCTTTGCAACTACATAAAAGAAAGTTATTCTTATTTATCACATTCATTTCAATTTACATAGAGGAAGCCTGGTTGCTGACTTTTATAAAATGTACTCTTAGAGCATAAATCATAGGTAAGGTAAATTTCATGCAAGTCTTTTTTTCTGAAGAAGTTCCATTTTATATATTAAATTAGAAAAATGAGCACTGTTCTCAGTTTTCTTTAACATTTTGCTGTATCAAGACCTACAAATAAATGCATATGGGTTTTTTGCATAAAAAACCCCCACAAAAAAACAAAAAACACAAACTCCAATCAAACAAAAGCCCAGGTCTGGAAGGATTCACAGGGAGCTTTTACCAAACCTTCAAAAAACAATTAACACATATCCTCCTCGAAGTATTCCAAAAACACAAGAGAAAGGAACATTTCCAAGCTGCTTTAATGAGGCCAGCATTACCCTAATTCCAAAACTAGATAAAGACACTATAAAGAAAGAAAATTACAGGCTAATATCCCTGATGAACATAGAGGCTAAAATACTCAACAAAATATTAGCAAATCAGATCCAGCAATATATTAAAAAGATCATACACCATGAATAAGTGGATGCTATTCCAGGGATACAAGGCTGGTACAATATTCGCAAATCAATCAATGTGATACAGCACATAAACAAATTAAAAGACAAAAATTCATGATCTTATAAATAGATGCAGAAAAAGCATTCGACAAATTCCAACACCTCTTTTTAGAAACTCTCAGCAAAGTGTAATAGAGGGATCATATCTCAACATCATAAAGGCCATATATGACAACCTACAGGGAACATCATACTCAATGGGCAAAAACTAAAACCATTTCCCCAAAGAACAAGAACAAGAAAGGGATGTCCGCTTTCGTCACGCTTATTCAACATAGTACTGGGAGTCCTAGCCACAGCGAACAAAAAATAAGAAGAAATAAAAGGCATCCAAATTGGAAAAGAAGTATAATTGTCCTTATTCGCAGATGACATGATACTGTACATAGAAATCCCTAAAGACTCCACTAAAAAACTACTAGATTTAATAAATGAACTTGATAATGTAGATGGGTAACAAATCAATATCCAAAAATAAATGACTTTTTTTATACACCAATAATTAATTCTCTGAAAGAGAAGGTAAACAACCCCAATTACCACTTCAACAAAAAATTAAGATACTTAGGAACAGACTTTTACCAAAGAGGTAAAAGATTTGTACTCAGAAAACTACAGGATATTGAGAAAAGAGATAGAGGAAGATATAAACAAGTGGAAGAATATACTGTGTTCATGGATTGGGAGAATTAACATAATTAAAATATCCAAACTATCCTAGGTAATCTACAGACTCAATGCAATCCCTATTAAAATAGCAACAGCATATTTCACAGATCTAGAACCAATACTCCAAAAATGTATAGAGAACCTAAAAAGACCTCGAATAACTGCAGCAATCTTGAGAAAGAAGAACAAACTTAGAGGGATCACAATACCAGATATCAAATTATACTT